GTGTCTGCAGGGTGCACGATGCCCTTGGGGGCGTCGTGACCCCAGGAGGGTCTTGCGCTTTAAGATGGGGTTTCAGGCGGAGCGGGAACCGGCAGGGCGGCGCCAGGTGAGCCCGCCTGCCCGGGACGCACGTGCTTGGCCCGCGGGGCGCGAGCTGAGTCTCGCGAGTGGGAACCCGCGGGTTGGGACCGGTTGCCAAGCGAGCGCCTGGCCCAGTGCTTTTGGGGTCCGCGGAGACTCGGTCGGCTTCGATCTTTGTACCCAGCGGCTCCTTACCTCGCCGGAGGCTATGCCAGGCTAGGCAAGTCGCAGAGAAGGAGGCGCGGGGCTGCCCGCGTCCTTAGAGGCCGCTTCCGCGAACGGTCAGCGATTCTGGCCGGTCCTGCGGCGGGCGGCGTGCCTGCCCGGCCAGAGCGCTGCGGGGCTGCCTGCCTCCGATGGGGAGGAGGGTCTGTGACCCGGGCAGGGGGGCCGGTTCTTGCACGGTGGAAGAATTACCGCCTGAGCGAGAAAAGGTGCTGGTCTCCTTAGGGCCAGGGGCGGGGTGGGGGGGTTCCTAAAGTTAGAGAAGGGGAGGGGGGCATCCTCCAGTGGCCTCAGGGAAGACCTGAAGCTTCCAAAAGAAGCCGTTGATCCCAAGGCTGAAAAGAACCACCGCTCTAAGGCCGTTGGGCGGGACAGCTGGGAGGCTGGCTTCTCTGGAATGGGGCCAGCCCCACCGGCCTGGTGAATTTCCAAAGGATGTGACTTGCAGAGTGTCCCCAGGTTTCTAACTCCCTGTTCGCAGGCTCCGGCCTGGGCGAATGTGGCCAGCCGCTGGGCACTGGGCTGCATCGGGCCACCTGCACTGGGGGAAATGGACCCAGCTGGGGCTGCCTCTGCCTTTGCTGATAACCAGCCTGATTCTGCGTGCCCTGGAGGAGAAGGTCAGCAAGGGAACGCCCCGAAACTCTGGATTTACACCTCCATGTGAGGAGCCCTTTACACCTTCGGCCCAGTCTGCTCGGCCACTCACCTTTTCACAGCAAAACTGCCTCAGGAAGGTCTTGGGGAGCACAGATATCTGTGGGCTCGATCCCACGACCCTGGGATTATGACCTAGACCGAAATCAGTCAGACGCTCAACTGACCGAGCCACCCAGGTGCCCCAGAGCACCCCCCCCCCGGGTTGTAAGAACTGTTTTAGTTTTAGGAAAAATTGGGAAGACGAGTTCCGTGTGCCTGCTTCCTAACACTTTCCCTGAGTAGCCGAGCCTGTTGCATTAGTAGGTCTTTGTTACCGTTAGTGAACGCAGCTGTTAACTGCAGTCTCTGCTGAACTCAGGTTCCCTCAGTTTCCCCTAACCCCCTTGAGCTCTTCCGGGATTCCTTGGAGGATATGCCTCGTTTGTGCAATTGTACTGTCTCTTGTGGGCACTTGTCGGTCGTCAGTCTGTGGAGGGGTGGCCGTGTTGGAGGAGCCGGGCTCTGTCGTCCCGGTCGCTGTGGAGACGGGAGAAGGGGGCAGAAGACAGGCTGAGTTCAGTCCCAGTCTTTCCGAAGATGAGGGTGGTGCCTGTTGGTTGTCACCCCAAAGGGGCGAGGCAGGCGTACAGCTCAGTGAGGCCTCACCTCTGATTGAGCCGGTCTCCGTCTGTCCGTCTGTCCTTCCTTAATCTGTTGTCCTTGTCTTAATCTGTTTTAAGGTTATGTGTGATTTTTATTTATTTTTTTAAACTTTTTAATTTTTAAGTTCATTTATTTATTTTGAGAGTGAGAGTGAGCACAAGCAGGGGAGGGGCAGAGAGAGAGCGAGAATCCCAAGCAGGCTCCACATTGTCAGCACAGAGCCCGAGGCTCGAACTCACAAACTGCGTGATCATGACCTGAGCCCAAGTCGGATATGTAACCCACTGAGCCACCGAGGTGCTTAAATTCATGATAAGGTTTTTGTGACATCCTCTTTATGGTTCTACACACTCACAGGGGCACAATTCCGTAGCATTAAGTACATTCACAGGTTGTGCAACCATCACCAGGATCTGTATGCAAAACGTTCATCAGGTCAAACCAAAACTCCTCCCATTCACCAGCGACGCCTCATAACCTCTGTCCTACCTGATGAGTTTCCTCTGTGAATCTGCAGATCGTAGGCTCCTATTTCCTGCAGGTGTAGCCGTTCGGGGTTTTCCTTCGTGTGGTTTGTTCACAAAGCGCAATGTGTCCGAGGCCCCCTCACCTCGTAGCGTGTATCAAAACATCATTCCTTTTTTTTTAGGGTAAATACATCATTATCTCCATTTCTGATATCCGTCATATAAATGTAGTTTTTTCAAAACAACTTTGAGGTAACAAAAGCCATATATATAGTCGACCCTCGAGCAGTGTAGGGGTTAGGGGTGCCGACCCCACGCAGTCAAAAATCCATATGTCACTTTTGACTCCCCCCAAATTTAATAGCTCACTATTGCCCGGAAGCCTTACTGATAACGTAAATAAATGGTCAGTTAACACTTGTTTTGTATATAGCATGTATTTATGCTGTACTTTCACAATAAGCTGGAGAAAAGTGTGTTAGGAAAATCGTAAGGGAGAGAAAAATCCATTTACAATACTGTGTTGTATTTGTCAGAAAAATTTTCATATAAAAAAATTTTTTTAATGTTTATTTATTATTGAGAAGTAGAGACAGAGCATGAGTGTGGGAGGGGCAGAGAGAGAGGGAGACACAGAATCCCAAGCAGGCTCCAGGCTCCGAGCTGTCAGCACAGAGCCCGACGCGGGGCTCGAAGCCACGAACCATGAGATCATGAATGACCTGAGCCCTAGTTGGACGCTTAACCGACTGAGCCACCCAGGTGCCCCGTTTTTGTTTTTGTTTTTAATGGAGTTGTCCTTATGTGTGATACTCACAACAGAAGCCCTTTTTACAGCTTTCTGTTTTCATTTCACGTCTACGTTGTGCAAAGATTCCCCACTGTCAGATAAACAACATACCCGTCACCTCTGCGTGGGAACTTTTTTTTTTTGTACGTGCTCATGTATTGAGAAATTTTGAAAACTTTATTACTTTTTTACGGCCAAGTAATATTCCGTCGTATGGCTGTGCTACGTTTTGTGTATCGCGCATCTGTGACAGGTGTCTGGTGTGTTTCCACGTTTTGCCTCTTGTGAGTCGTGTGGCTGTGAACGTGGTGCACAGATGTCTCCAGCTCTTTGGATATATGCCTAGGAGCGCCATGCTGGCTCCCGTGGTGGTTCTGTTTAACCTTTTGAGGAACCGCCACACCGTGGCCACAGCAGCTGCCCCGACATTTTTGTGCTTGCCCTTGTGCTGTTTGAATGTGTGGACGCCCCGCCCCCTGCCCTGCCCCGCCCCTGCAGAGGGACCCTGTGAGCAGGATTGCCCAGGTCCCCAGCAGCAAAGCAGACTCCTGGGCAGGTGTTTAGAAATGGCCTGAACCAAGTCTCTCCCCCTCCCTTTGCCAGATCCCAGCATGCCTTCCGAGACACCCCAAGCAGAAACGGGGTCCGAAGGGTGCCCCCACCTCTCAGGGGCACACCTAGGGAAAGGGAGCCTGGAGAAGGGACCTCCGGGGGACAAGGAAGCCAAGGAGCGCCTGTGGATCCGTCCCGATGCCCCAAGCAAGTGTTCCTGGCAGCTGGGCAGGCCGGTCACTGACTCCCCTCATCACCACACTGTCTTGTGAGTGCCGGTTTATGATTTATTATTATTATTATTATTATTATTTTAGGAGAGAGAGCATGTGTACAAGCTGGGGAGAGGGAGAAAGGGGCAGGGAGAGAGAGGGATGGAGAGAATCCCAAGCAGGCTTCTTGCTGTCAGCCTGGAGTCCGATGCGGGGCTCAATCCCACAAACCATGAGATCATGACCTGAGCCGCAATCAAGAGTCGGACGCTTAACCGGCTGAGCCACCCAGACACCCCTGATTATGGGATTTAAAATCAGAACTCAGGGGCGGTAGGGAGGTGCAGGCCTCACTGGGGCTGGCAGAAATGAAAAACTTACAAATCCAGAATCCCCAAGCATTAAATGTGTCTGAGCACCGAGAGCTCAGGAGGCGATGAGCCCTCACTGCCAAAACCCAGCCGAGCAGTGGGCGAAAAAAGGCCTGTGTGAGGCTGAGGCAGCCACGAGGGACCAGGTTCCTGCGGGCCCCTGAGCCCGTCACGCGGAAGGCCTGGGGCTTTTACCCCCCGCCAAGCTCTCCCTTCGCCCTGCCTGCTGTGAGCTGCCCCTGGCCTGGCTGGGGGCGTCCCTTCCGCTCCTTGGAAGGCTGCTGTTGGAGGCTGGATTCCAGCTTGTTCCAGCAGAGGCCTGTTTGGGCCCCCAGGGTGGACTGCAGCCTCCGGCCCCCCTGGGGAGCTGGGTGCGCTGGGCCTGAGGCCAGGAATCTGGTCTTGCCGGGTTCCTGGAGCAGAGGGCTCGCTAAAGTTTGGGAACCACGGAATGTAAATTAGAAATCCAAGGGCGTAGGAAGCTAAACCCAGGTCTGTGCTGCACACCCCCGGGCGGGTGTTTGGTGAGCACGTACTTGGCACGGACAGGAAGAAGGTATGCAGTTGGCATCGGGCCCTGAGGGTGAGGAGGGAACCGCCTGTGTCGTGGCTGACACACCATCGGGCTGTCCGCACCCGACTGTCACCTGTCACCAGGTCGGAGAACGGGGAGAGAAAGCCAGTCGCTAGAATGCGACGGGAGACAGCCAGTCGATGATGAGGAATCCCACACTGAGCCTGGACGTCCACCTGGGAGTTCATGGTGACCTTGACCCCAGGGGCACCGCTGACTCCCCAAGGTCTTTGTTTTGTTTCGAGTAGGGTGCTTCAGTCACCCGTGCCTGACATTTTCTGAGTGATGCCCGGTGGCCGGTGCACCCCTTGTGGCCGCTTTCCATCCCTGGTGGACAGCCAGGCAGCCTGAGGGGGCTCAGCTCTGGAGGAGCTTTTTTCATCAGGGAAAAGCTTTTTTCCTTTTTTCATCAAGGAAAAGAAAAGGACAAGGAATCCCAGGGGTCGGGTGCCGAGAGATGGAAGGAAGTGAAGGTCCGCAGAAAAGATTTTCTGAACGGATGCACCAGGCAGGAGCTGTTGTTGAAGTCGCGTTGTCTACTCCAGCTTCCGTACTTGGAAGTAATTTTTTTTTAACATTCACTCGTTTTTGAGAGAGAGAGCAAGCAGGGTAGGGCAGAGAGAGAGGGAGACACAGGATCCCAAGCAGGCTCCAGGCTCCGAGCTGTCAGCACAGAGCCCGACGCGGGGCTCGAACCCACGAACCGTGAGATCATGACCTGAGCCCAAGTCGGACGCTTAACTGACTGAGCCACCCAGGCGCCCCTGTACTTGGAAACAATTTAACATAGAAAGTTGCAGAAATAATACAGAGGGGTCTCATGTCCCTTCCCCAAGCTGCCCTCTGACCCCGGCCCCTGTTGCCCAGGAAACGACCTTGATGCGGCTCACCGTTAGCTACACCACAGACGGGGTTTCTGCCATCGGCTCACCCACCGGTGTCCTCACGTGTCATGTGTGCACACGTGAGCAGGAATGTGCCTGTGGCCTTTTACCCTGCGAGTAGGTTTGTGCAATTAACCACTCGGATCCCTCACCCAAGCCAGTTCTTGGATTTGTTTCTTGGTTTATGTAAAACAGCGTGCTGGTCTGCCAAGTCTGAGTGATCGTGGACTTCCCTGTTTCAGGACCAAATCCCCCCAAATCTTGCCCGACATCCTGAAGAAAATCGGGGACACCCCCATGGTGAGAATCAATAAGATCGGAAAGAAATTTGGCCTCAAGTGCGAGCTCTGTGAGTACCTGGCCGCCTCCCTCTGTCCCGTGCCTGCCCCAGCAGCAGCTCGGTGGGCCTAGGGTTGTGGGCATAGACCCCTGGGGCCCTCTGGGGGGCAAGAGGGGCCAGGGAGTGAGCCGGCTAATGAATGTGCGGGACCCCATCGGGTAATAGCAGAAAGAAAGCACGGTAGGGGGACGTGCTGGGGTGGCGGGGCACAGCCGGCCGCTCTGGTCGGGGCCCGAATGAGGAGACAGAGTGTGGAGACCCGGGGAGCGTGTTCTGGGCCAACGTGGAAGGCAGGACCCAACCAGGAAGGAGCTTGACCTTCCCCAGACCTGAGGAGGAGGAGACGTCACAACGGGGTCCGTCTTTGTGATGCGGGGTCTCGGGCGTGGGCTGGGCAGGAAGCGGTTGTCTCTGTGTTCAGCTGGTTCTGTGGGGATAGACCGTCCGTTATGAGGCGGTGGGAATCGGGGGAGCCACGTCCGGCCTTGTCCTCGGTGAGCAGGGGGGCCACCCTCACGCAGAGCCCCGTGTCGCTGGGCGAGGGCCTCTCCCGGTGAGCAGGCTGATGGGAGGCAGGCGTGGAGCGCTGGGCAGGCCCCAGTTGGACGGGGCGGGCCGCCCTGCCTCACACCGGCCCCCTGCTGTGTGTCCGGCCCTGGGCCCGTGCTGCCCCAAGGGGGGGCTTTTCCTGGCCCACCCACCCAGCAGGGGGCTCCTCACTTCTCTCCTTCGCTCGGAGTTGCCACTCGGGCTGGACAGCAGGTGGCTGGGCAGGGGGGAGTTTCCCGGTGGGCGAGCACGCTGCTCCGGGCACAGGTGGGGGCGAGAACAGAGGGGGCTGGTTTACGGTCCCCACGTTCTGGGCGTGTCGCATAATAGGAGGTCGTGGGGATCAGCCAGGGGGCGGGGGGGAGCCTCTTCCTGTCCTGATTCGTCCTTGGCTCCCAGTGGCCAAGTGTGAGTTCTTCAACGCGGGCGGGAGCGTGAAGGACCGTATCAGCCTGCGCATGATTGAGGACGCCGAGCGGGCCGGGACCCTGAAGCCCGGGGACACCATCATTGAGCCGACGTCCGGGAACACAGGTGGGTCCCAGGACGGGCCGGGAGGGTCCCCTGGCCTGTCCGGCCGGCCTCCTCCCTCGACTCGCTTGGGCAGCACGTAATGCGTGCATTTGGAGGGCGGTGCCCAGGGGAAGCCGGGGGCACTGGGTTCCACGTTTTCCCACCTGCGTTGCTTCTCAGGGGGTACATCCCCTTTGCGTTTCTACCTCGGGCGTTCTCTGCCCCGACTCCCTCATTCGAGACAGAAGGGGGTGACCTCAGGCCTTTTTGGTATCTGAGTGCCCTCTCCCTGGGCCTTCCTGGCCGTGGGCACCCAGAGCGGGGTCTGTGGGGCGCCGGGGCCCCGTCTCACCCCGTGCACTGTCCCCAGGGATCGGGCTGGCCCTGGCTGCCGCCGTGAAGGGTTACCGCTGCGTCATCGTGATGCCGGAGAAGATGAGCACGGAGAAGGTGGGGGCAGGGGTTGTCCCGAGGGGCCCGGCCCCGTGCACTGGGCCCGGGGGTAGACGCGGGCCTCCGTGCTCCTCCATAGGTGGATGTGTTGCGGGCCCTGGGGGCCGAGATTGTGAGGACGCCCACCACGGCCAGATTTGACTCCCCGGAGTCCCACGTGGGGGTGGCCTGGAGGCTACGGAACGAGATCCCCAATTCTCACATCCTGGACCAGGTGAGGCCGGGGTCTGGGGGCGAGCGTGCACTCGGGGGTGTGGACCCACATCGGGGGCGCCCTGGGGGGCGTCCGTCGGGGTCGGGGGCTGCAGAGGCAGCTGGCGCGCGGTCGCCGGCCTGCCCGGCTCTCCGGCAGGTGGCGGCCAGGTCCGCTGAGCCTTTGGCCGCCCCCCGCCTCTGGAGGGCTGCGCTCAGCGCCTGGGCCGGAACGGTTTTGGCGGTGCACCCGGAAGCTGTTGTACAGGTGTAAAACACACGAAAACCTTTTCACCGGGGCTCTCGGCCTCCCCCGTCTCCCCTCTGGGTGAGTTCAGAAACCGCACCTCCCGGAGGGCTCGAGTCAACGTCCTGTGCTGGTCGAGCTTCCTAAAACCGCCCGTGCCGCCGGCCACTGGCTTGATCTGCCGGGATCCGCTCCGGCTCGCCCTGAGCCGTCGGCCTGACGCCCCGGGGCTTTGCCCGTTTGGCCTTCCTGACCCCACTCAGCCCCTCCGCCGTCTCTCCACACAGTACCGCAACGCCAGCAACCCCCTCGCTCACTACGACACCACCGCCGAGGAGATCCTGCAGCAGTGTGACGGTGAGTCCTTGCGTCCCGCCCCTCCGTCCGCCTTCGCTGCATCAATCCCTGCTTGCCTGGGAGCGCACGGGTCACTTACCCTCTCCTCGGGAAACTCCTGTCCGTCCTTCAAAACCCAGCCCGAGCATCCCCTCTCCGTGAAGTGCTTTCCAGCGCATTTCCCCAGAGGGGTGTCCTTTTTCGGGCTTTGCCTGTGCGTCGCCTGGAACACCAAACGTATCACATGGTTCTGCTCGTGCGCCCAGCAGTAGGTCCTTCCAGACCTACTCCTGCGTGCGGGGAACGAAAGTGTGCCAGGCTGGTTGGTGCTGGAGCCCTCCTTGGGCTCCATGCCGTCGAAAGCCCTTGGCATCAGGCCCCGATCCGAGCGCTGAATCCAACACTTGGCTTTTCTCATCTCCTGAGCCGGATGGTGGTGCCGGGGGTTGGTTTACTTCCTGTACGGACATGAGTGTCCCTGGAGCCTTTGCACACGTTGAGAGCCAAGTCCGTGGTGGGGGTGGGGGGGGGGGGTGGTTCCCTAAGAGGTTTCAGGGAGAAAGTGCCGGGCGATGGGCCTCGCCGCTTGGAACCTGGTGCTGGCACCGGCCCACACGCGACCTCGTTCCAGGCCTAGGAGCCAGACGGCGGCAAGGGTCCAAGGGTGTGCTCACCCGGGTTTTACGTGTGAGAACTCTCTCCTTTGGCAAAAACAGCCCTCTGCCTCGGCACGGGTGTCCGCACCGACTTGTCTGCAGGATGCCTGGGCCGGCCACGCGGCAGGCGGAGAGCCCAGTGACTTTCGGGCCGAGCCTGAGGGATTTATTTATTTCCTTTATAATTCAGTTCACTTATTCCTACCTGAAGCCTGACACTGTAAGAGGGGCACGGCAAAGGGCCTCCCCGGGCCCGTCCCTGCGGCAGCCACCGTGTGGCAGGTCCTGGCAGTGCGTCCAGACGCCCTTCACGGCTTCGCACCAGATGGGGGCTGCAGTGGCCACGTGTCATCCAGCAAAGACTAAACAGAGCCCACTGGCTCGCTGTGGCTGCGGATGCTTCTTTAAAGCTCTAGAACTGTCATGAGAGGCTGTCGAAACGTGACAACAGCTTCTCTCTGAACTTCTTGAGAACCGGCCTGCGTTTTGGTTGCGTCTTTACTTACTGCTGAGCGTGGCGAGCCGGCTGAGCTGTGGCCGGAGGGTGGCCCCCTGACACAGCTTCTCCCATCAGGGAAGTTGGACATGTTGGTGGCTTCGGCGGGCACGGGTGGCACCATCACGGGCGTCGCCAGGAAGCTGAAGGAGAAATGCCCAGGGTGCAAAGTGAGTGAGCCAGGGGCTGCAGACGGGCATCGGAGGCGGGTGGGCCCGGACGTGCGCGCCTCTCTCACCTGTGGCCCCATCTGCGGTCGGAGTGTGACCATCGAGCTTCTGGGCCCTGGGTCCCCAGGGTGGCCTCTGCTTTAGAGCTGCAAGTTCCCCGTCCTGACATTTCTGCTTACAGCTTGTCTTGTACCTTGTGTGTCTGCCTCTTCTTGGGAGTGATCCATGACCTAGGCGCCCCACTGCTCTGGGGGTGGGACAGTCGACTTGGATGGCCTCCAAGGATCGTTCCAGAAGCTCTAAGCTCTTAGGGTCATGTCCCGCATGTGCTGTGCTTGGCGGGGGGTGGGGGGGGGGGACATCTGGATTTGGAGTTAAGCGTGGACCCGGGGAGGGGCTTGTAGAAACTTCCAGCTGGGGGTCCCGAGCACTTTCCTCCTTCCGGCCATTTCTCTGCCATCCATCCCCAAAGGCTCTGGCTGCCCCCACAGGGGCAGTCAGGGCTTTCCTGGGGCGCCCTGCTCACCTGGTTCTCCCCTGGGAAGCTACCTTGTCCCCCCCCGGCCACATGCTGTCCCCTTGGAGTACCCCAGGTGAATGTGTACCTTGTAATGTCCCCAGCACTTGGGGCCTGAGGCCTGGGGACACGGCCACACCCCAGGGCAGGTCTTCACCGGGTGCTTGCTAGGGTGGGATTGGCCACCCCCGTAAAAAGGCACGGCCAGATGAGACTGTCGCCCAACTCGGGCCCTCATGCCGCCCCCTCTAGATCATCGGGGTGGATCCCGAGGGTTCCATCCTCGCAGAGCCCGAGGAGCTGAACCAGTCGGAGCAGACGGTCTACGAGGTGGAAGGGATCGGCTACGACTTCATCCCCACGGTGCTGGACCGGACGGTAGGCAGGGCCAGGGCACTCCCAGGCACGGTTCCAGCCCTCTGGGTACGAACGCCCTTGACCTGTTTTCCGACGGAGGGGCCGCGGAATAGTGGGGGCTGCATGAGCAGGCGGGGAAAGCGTGGCCTCGCTGTCAAGGGTAGGTAACAGGTGGCACCGTATCGAGCGTGTGCCAGGGCCCTGGTGGGCGGAGACGCTGAGACGGCCGTGGGCACGGGCCCGGCCCCCGCAGAGGGAGAGGGCGCGGGTGCTGAGGGCAGGGAAGCAAAGTGAACGATAAGGACCCCAGCCAGACAGGGCTCTCTTTCGGGACCCTAGAGGGTAATTCTGTGGGGGGGGGGGTTGTCTAGGGTGGACCTGTGGGGACAGAGCTGTGCGGCGGGGGCTGGCAGACAGTTTCGATGCCAGGGGCAGAATGTGTTGGACCAGGAGAGGTAGAAAGTTCTAGGGTTCTAGCCCTGAGAATCCGGTCGCAGATGTGGGGCCGGGCCACGTTCCAATGAGGGTCATGGCCTCTGGCGCACATGTGAGGTTGCAGGCACGGGCTGTGGCCACACCCCCATCACAGAAGGGCCCGGGCCCCTCCAGAGCTTTCCGTGTGGGTCCTGTCTGCAGGTGGTGGACAAGTGGTTCAAGAGCAACGATGAGGAGGCCTTTGCCTTCGCCCGGATGCTGATTGCACAGGAGGGGCTGCTGTGCGGTGAGTGCCGGGTGGGCTCTGGGGTGCACTTGCCCCCTGCCCACCTCCAGGCCACGCGTAAAAGACACCCTCGTTCTGAAGCCGCGGGCCGCGCCTGTCAGGTGCCGTCCGTCCGTCTGCCCCTCGGCAGGGCCGTCGTGCTCACGGCAGAGGTGCCCTTCCAGAACGTGGCTGGAGCTCTGGGTCTGTGTTCCCGGGCCCCTGGGGTCCTTAGGCTTTGTCTCGCTGAGGACAGGCGTGGCCCGCAGATCCGAGAAGGGAAGGAGTGTGAGCTGTGAGGGGCCTGGGGACGTAGCAGCCCCCCAGCAGCTCAACAGGGGAAGAAAGCAGGCGCCATCCCTGCGCTCCCGGCGAAGTGGGCAGCGGGGTCCGGGTTCGAGTGGGCGTCTGCCTCCTGCCGGCCCCACCTTGAGAGGCGTCCCGGCGATGCCGTCAGTGGTTTGGGGGTGAGGCCAAAGCTTTTAGGGCGCTTGTTTTTTTTGTTTTTTTTCTTCTTTAATATTCATTTATTTTTTTTTTAACATTTATTTATTTTTGAGACAGAGAGAGACAGAACATGAATGGGGGAGGGTCAGAGAGAGAGGGAGACACAGAATCCGAAGCAGGCTCCAGGCTCCGAGCCGTCAGCCCAGAGCCCGACGCGGGGCTCGAACTCATGGACCGCGAGATCGTGACCTGAGCTGAAGTTGGACGCTCAACCGACTGAGCCACCCAGGCGCCCCAAATGTTCATTTATTTTTGAGTGCTAGACAGACAGAGCATGAGCAGGGGAGGGGCAGAGAGAGAGGGAGACACAGAATCGGAAGCAGGCTCCAGGCCCCGAGCTGTCAGCACACAGCCTGACATGGGGCTCAAACTCATGGACTGCGAGATCATGACCTGAGCCGAAGTCAGACACGCTTAACCGACTGAGCCACCCCAGCGCCCTGTGGGCACTTGTTTTCAGCCAAGTCCAGCCCTCACCTGGGGTCTGGGGCTGGCACAGGGTGCCGGGAATGCCCTGGAGAGGCTGGGGGCCATGTGTGACACGGGCCTCCAGGGTCAGAAGGAGATGGGACCACGCTCCCCACCGGCTGTCTCCGCTCGGAGCCCCAAGGCCCCCGAGGGAAGCGCTGGATTTAGACCCCCAGGGACCGACGGCCGAGAGGACACGCGGCTCGCTGTGGGGTGTCTGTGCTTCCTCCGGGAGGGTTTGGTGACGAAGCCTGGGCGGACGTGGAGCTCCGTGCTGCCAGAGCGGTGCGGGTGCAGTGAGAAGCGGGGTCCTCCCCCCAGAGCCAGGCTCTGCGGGTGGCTCCCCCGGCTCGCACGCAGGTGCTCACGCCACCCCCCCCCCGGCCCCCCGCAGGTGGCAGCGCCGGCAGCGCCATGTCGGTGGCCGTGAAGGCTGCCCGGGAGCTGCAGGAGGGCCAGCGCTGCGTGGTGATTCTGCCGGACTCGGTGCGCAACTACATGTAAGACGCGCCCTCCCCCGCCCGCGTCTCTGTCCTTCCGAGTCCCCCGCCCGCATCTCTCTGTCCTTCTGAGCCCCGCACGCCCCGGGGGCTCTCGCTGACGGCCGCCCCGGAGATCAGACAGGCAGGAGGAGGGAGGGTGGGGGTCTGCGGGACCCCTGTGAGCTCTGCCTGCGCCTAGCCCCGGGCTCCCCATCGGGCTCCCCATCGTGTCTCAGCCTGTCTGGTCCCCGTCTTGGGGTCCTCTAGACACGCTTATGAGTCCGCGCACCTTCATGGTGGCCGGTGCGTCTGGCAGAGCGCCCCCTGGAGGGGGTTCCTTGCCCACTTCAGCCCCTCCTGCCCCCGTCGCCCCTCCCACGTGTCTCCTGTGAGCTGCCCTCCCCCACTCGGCCCCTTGCGGCCTCCACCCTCTGACTGAGGAGATCCCTGGCTGGGCTCAGACCGCCCTCAGGACCTGCTGGGAAGTGTCTGGCCGGTGGCCCCCACGGCCCCTTCCGGCCCGATGGCACTGGGCGTTCGTGTGTGTTGTGGCCCAGCTCTGAGGGCCATAGGTCCAGCCGGTGGCCCCTGGGCCTACGGCTCTGCCTGTGCACCAGGCTGCTCTGCAGCAGGCTTCTGGGGGACGGGGAGCTGAGGACCCCCCTGGCCCCCGCCCGCCAAACCCTCACGATTCCCTCCATAGCCTGGGTGCTGGGGGTGCCCCGAGTTGGCTTCCCAGGGGCGCGGGGGTTCACAAGGATTCCCACCGCCAAGTTGCCCTGAGCTGGGCTGCCCGCCTGCCCCAGTCAGGATGCCCGTCTCCCCGTGAGCTCGACAGGCCTGCTGTGCGGGCATGTGAGCGTGTGCACGCTGGAGGGTGTGAGAAGCAGGGCGGGCCCGTGGGAGACGTGGCGGGTGGGTGAGGGAGACACGGAGCAGGGGTGCAGGTGAGAGGGCAGGTCCGCAGGGGGCAGAGAGGGTGGTGTGGTGGGGGGAGAGATGGGGTGGGGGAGGGGGGAAAGGCAGGGCCAGTGGGGGGCGGGGGACAGGGTGGGGGTATGCGGGAGGTGGGGTGAACGGGAGGGAGACGGGGCAGGTGTTGGGGGGCAGAGAGATGGGGTAGCTGTGAGCGGTAGACGGAACCGGTCATGCGGAGGACCAAGCGTGTCCTTCTGCGTGTCTTGGTCACCGGGTGGCAGGTTGGGGTGGGTCCCAGGCAGGCAGCCTCTAGCCGGGGCCAGTGTCCTCAGCCCCTGGGAGGGAGGCGCTCCCTCTGTTCCTCGGCCGGGAGGCCGCCCCGGAGCCGGGAGCGGGCTTTCCGGCTTGGGCTCCGGGACAGACGCTGTGCTCTGCGCCCCCCCGCAGACGCAGGCCAGGCTCGCGGGTCGACCAGGTGCCCCCACGGCACTCCCTGCTGGGGTCTCCGAGGCCCGGCTCCCCGGCCTCACCCTGCAGTCCCCGCCGGCCGCTCGGGGTCTCGGCTGGAGCCACGGTGTCCCACGAGTGGTGCTGGGCTCTCTCAGGACCGACCGGGCCCCAGTGGCTTCTTGATGCCCATAGGTCCAAATTCCTGAGTGACAAATGGATGATGCAGAAGGGCTTCCTGAAGGAGGAGGACTTCACCGTGACAAAGCCGTGGTAAGGGTGTCTCTGAACGGAGACCGTGCTCCCAAGTCCAGGCCCCTGTGCTCCGTCCCGCACCTGGCCGGCCATCATCCCTCTGCGCTGAGCCTTGCAGTGAGTGTGCTTGTCCTCCCCTCCCGCCTCCCGGTTCGTGGCCGGCCCGGCGCCCTCCCCCCAGGTGGTGGCACCTGCGAGTTCAGGAGCTGAGCCTGTCGGCCCCGCTGACGGTGCTGCCCACGGTCACCTGCGAGCACACCATCGAGATCCTCCGCGAGAAGGGCTTCGACCAGGTGCCCGTGGTCGACGAATCAGGGTCAGTGTCAGCCACCCCAACCCGGGGCTCTGCCCGGAGCCGCAGGGCCAGGGCCCCAAGCTCCCGGACAGGGCGGGGCAGCGGTTGGCCCGTCGGACGACTTGTCCATGCGCACCCGCCACGCTAGCTCTTATGGCCCAAGGACCCCTCCTGCGGCGTCCCTGCACTCTGGGCACGTGTGTGGGGGGTGGCGGGAGAGGACCGGCCGTGCCGTGGCTCGTGGCCAGCACTGGAAGGCCGTGGCCAGCCAGCAGTCTCCCGAGACCGTCCCAATTCTAGAACCGAGCCCACCACCCGGGACGCTGCCAGCTGTTTCCCCGCGATGCTGGTCAGAATGGAGGCGCCCGAGACTCGCTGGTTTGTGGTGTCCCCACACTGGACAGGCAGCCCCCAGGACCGGGCGTCAGTCACCCTATACCCACGCGTAGGCACTGCACTTCCTGGTTGAATTCTCAGAGAGATTCCACGTCTGGCCACGGAGCACAGCCTGAGCAGAGGGTGGCTGTGGGCGTGTTCTGTCCTTGGGAGGGAAGAGGGGTGCCCGCACTGACCCCTGACCCCTGTTCCCCAGGGTGATCCTGGGGATGGTGACCCTGGGGAACATGCTGTCGTCCCTGCTCGCTGGGAAGGTTCAGCCGTCAGACCAAGTTCGAAAAGTCCTCTATAAGCAGTTCAAACAGGTACGAGCTCTGTTTCGCTCGAGACCCAGGCCTGCCCTCGAAGGCGGGGCTCAGTGCTCCCGTGAGAGGGTGCCGGGGCCCCTGCTGCGCCCAAGCCCATAAACCCAAGGTTTTGCCCCTGCTCTGCAGGCGGCCCTCGCTGGTGGGGGCTCACCCGGGGGTCAGCATCCCGAGGCCGTCTCAGCCAAGCCGGGCGCCCGCCAGCTCGGTCGTTCCGCAACGCTGGGCCTGTGCCTTCTCTGTGCACGTTCGTTAAGAATGCCCGGCAGGCCGAGAACATTCTGGGGAGTTGCCGGGGCTGGTTGGGGCCCGTGGGTGTCCTTACATGATCACGGTCCCTCGATGGGCCGGGCGGAGGCCCCAAGGTGGTGCGGTCGGGCGTCCCCTCTCCCTGGTCCCTGGCGCCGACTCCCCACCAGCTTGTCCTGCACTTGGTGAGGGAAGGCGGCCGCTGGCCGTGTTGGATTTGAGGGGCTGAGTCTAGAGCCGGGGAGGAATTTCCCACCACGCAGCTGACATGGCCCCAGAATCTGTGTTCCTTCCACTTTCGGCCGTCACCTGTCTCACGGGCCCTGCAGGGCCCCTTCCGCTAGGCCCTCTGGGAGCCGCTGCCCGGCCTGGACTGTCACCCCCTCCTCCTCGTCCCCTGTCCTTCCTCCAACCTCGACACTTCCCGCAGCTGGTGCCCCTGCCGCCCCCGCGCGATGCGCTCACCCTCTGTGCCCCAGGCCCTGTCACACCCCGGAGCACCGAGCGCATGAGCGTGTTTCTTGTGCGGAAGCTCCGTGAGGTGTCACTGAGCCCGGTGTCACGTGCAAGGGGCTGGCCAGCCGGGCCGAGCGTGGGCGCCCTTCCCGCCGGCTTCTCAGCTGTTCCCTCTACCGAGGCGTAACTGCCGCACGGGGTCGTGTCCAACCTAGCCCATTCGATGGTTCTGACGTGAATACGCACCCACGAAGCTGTCCGCATGGTCACGAGCGCACGTATCCCTTACCCCGAAGGCCCCCCCTGCCCGCCCCCCCGCCGACACCCCTCTCGTCGCTGCAGCCGATATGTGCTCTGCAGACCTGTGCACACGGCGTGTGCCACTCGTGTGCCTTTCCCACAGCGTAGTGTGGTGAGACCCATCCCCCGGGGCCGTGCACCCTGGTCCCTTCCCGCCCCAAGTGCCGCTGGCCCGCGCCGGGGCCTTCCACGAGCTGGCCTGGTTGGGGGAGCCTTCTCTCCGGTGGGGGCTCTGCTCCGTGGGTCTGTCTTCAAGCTGGCAGAGCCGGTGGCCGCCGCCTGGCGCCTGAGTCTGTATCTTGTTCCCTCCCTGAGAGGCCACGTCACACCTTCAGCCACGCCTCCGCCCCCAGAGTGCGGCCAGGCCCTCGGCCGGGACCCCTCTGGGTCTCAGCGCAGGGACTTCAGTTCCCGCCGCTGAGCTGCCGGGCGGGGCCGGAGGAACCGACCGTGTCGGGGGCCGCCGTGCACCTGCTCCCCTCTGCCCTGCGCTCCCAGGGGCGGGTGTGGGGGGAGGCAGGTGTCTTCCTTCAGCAGGGGCTCCAAGCCTCCGCGTTCCAGATCCTGTCTTGAGAGTGCAGGGGCCGCAGTAGACAGCCTGGGTGGGACCCGACATCTGGGCACAGCCGCCCTGCCAGGTGCTGGCCCTTCCTGCTGCCCCGTGGGGGCCTGGCCACCTGGGTGCGCTGTGGCTCCCTTACCACCTGGTTCTTTGTGACCCCCCGTGGCCTTTTGACCACATCCAGTGCGTGGCCTACAGAAAGCGTTTGGCGGAAGCTGGCTTCCGTGGACCAGCGCTGCTGTGAACACTTCAGCGTGCACTGGCGCCGGCGTGGACGTGCTGGACCCCCCCCGGACCCACCCCCAGAGGCTCTTCCCCTGGTCTCCTGAGCCGTGAGCACTGGTCTTTTCCCACGGAACCGCCCCCAGTACCAGAGTCCAAATAGGAAGGGCGCCGGGCTAGGTTCCGGTGTGGCTGACCAGGGTTTGTCCAGCTCACGTCTGATGAACACTCCCCTCACTGTGTCCCCAGAGAGGGTCAGCCAGCCCCTGTGACCCCTCCCGGGGTGCTGATGGCAGTGGAGGCCGTGGGGGACAGAGGGCTCTCCGGGTCAGACTTTCCCGGGAGCGTAAAGAGATGGCCGAGTGCCGTGGCTTACACCAGGTGACCCCTGCGGCTGGGCTGCTGACGCCCCATCCGTAACTAAGCTGAGAACCTTGCGGTGTGAGCAGGTGGAAAGGAGGTCCCGAGGTAGAGCCCCAGCCCGTGTAGATGCCGGCGGGGGCTGGGGGCTAGGCTCACTCCATTCTCCGAATGCCCCACCTCACCGTGTTTGCCTCTCCCTGCGGGTCATTTAAAACTAGGAAGATCTTTCAAATGGAAGTATGGCCTCGGGTGAGTTCAACTTGTAGAGACGTCACCTGCGTTTACCGCAAACTTGCGTTCCCAGTGCGGGGATGGGGTCTGTTCTTGGGGAGTGCTAGGCATGAGGGTAACAGCCCCCCGAGGGCCGGGGAGGCTGAACTCATTGAACAGCATCCTCTGCTGATTTCCCAAAGAACATGGATACAAAGACAGGAGCCCTTTAGGCCTCTTGTTGACAGCAGACCTCTTCCCTCTGGACGTGTGGTCACCGTGACTTCCGGGTTCCAGGCAGTCAGCCAAGAGGGTGTTGGGGGTGTGCCCGAAGCCCATCTCCGGTCTTGGCTGAGGCCCGAGCCGGGCGTTGGCGATGTTGGGGGCGAGGGAACACCTGGGTGCCGGGTCAGCGGGCGGCGAGCCAAGGACTGAGCGGGGCGACAGGCCTGGTGGCCGGGGGGCCACCGGGGGCAGCCTTGCTCCCGCACAAGGGCCAGGGTCTCCGATCATGACCACTCCTCCAGCGCCCCCATCCTGATTTTCCCTCCTGAGTCTTCTGTCCATTTTGTGTCCCCCACACTCCCTTTCCCACCTGGTGGGAGCACACTTCTCGTGAGGCACGGGTATCGATCCTCAGAAGGTGGACCCTGTTTTTACTGTAAGTTCTCACAGTTTGTCTTGAGGAGGTGGTGTGGGGCGAGCACCCACGTCTGCCTTCTCCACACAGCTCGCCATTGTTAGCACGTCTTGCACTGGTGTTTGTTGGGGCAGGTGACCGATAAGTGCTAGTTTTCTCATAGGGGGTCTGTCTGTGCCTTCCACGGGCCCCGGGGTTGTGGCAAATGTAGCTGTTCCAGTATCCCACAGACTGGTACTGTGTGTAAACCCCTCTCCCCCTGTATCTCCCTGAGTTTTCTTTTTTTTTTTTTTTTTTTTTTTTTTTTTTTTATTTTTGAGTGAGACATAGTGTGAGCGGGCGAGGGGCAGAGAGAGAGGGAGACAGAATCCAAAGCAGGCTCCAGGCTCCGAGCTGTCAGCACAGAGCCCGACGCGGGGCTCGAACTCATGAACTGCGAGATCATGACCTGAGCCGAAAGCCAAAGTTGGAGGCTTAACGGACTCAGCCACCCCGGCACCCCTCCCTGAGCTTCTCATTAGTTTTGCGTCTTCCGCGATGTCAGACTTGGGGTCAGAGTGTGGGAAGCCTTTCTAAATGGCTCTGTCCTGTGTCTAAGGACTCATGGTTCATCTAAGCGTCTTATGTGCACTGTGTCGCCCTCTGCGTCCTGCGTTCGGTTTCTGAATCGGCAAAAGACTAGAGGAGAATGTTCTGGAGCGATGCCCAGCCTTTGCTTTGCTCCTTTCACTGTCAGGCCTGGCAGGCAGCGGCCCTCAGGCTCTGCCAGCTTGAGGCCTGGCGGGACTGTCCTGGGAGCGCTGACCGACCGCACGTCCTCTTCCAGATCCGGCTGACGGACCCGCTGGGCAAGCTGTCGCACATCCTGGAAATGGACCACTTCGCCCTGGTGGTTCACGAGCAGATCCAGTGTGAGTGGGCCTGCTGTGGGCCGGGCTGGGCCGGGAGCTCCGCGGGGCAATGAGGCCCTCGTCCCTCAGAGGGTGTCGGGGGGGAGGGGGTGCTGACCTCCAGCCCCCACCAGCCTGTGACTGTGGATCTCGGAGGGAGCCTTCTGTGGGCCCTGCCAGAGAGGCCACAGGGCTTTTGAACTGCCGCGCACAAAGCCCCTTCTGGGCCTCTTTGGCGGGTCCCCACAGGCCGGGGGATGCGTCCGGTCCCGGGCGGGGATGAGGGCTGGAGAAACAAGGAGGATGGGAGGGGCCCAGAGTGCCCACCCTCCCGGCAGGGGCTGGTCTTGGGGCCCGGTCTGCCCCGACTCTCACGCCCGTCCCGTCCTTGGCTCCACAGCGCGGGACCTGGCCTTGACGGGCGTGGTGGGGGGGCCCTCAGGTATGTACGCCCCGCCCCCCCCCCCCCCCCCCCGCCGGAAATGGCTCTGTGGTCACAGTCGGAGCCTCCGAGGGCGGAGGAGGGCGCCTGGGGTCCTGGACCCCCAGGCTCGAGTGGGAGGGTTCTTCCTCCTAGGCTGTTGACTCACATTTGAACTTCTACCAGAAAAAGGCCAGAGTCCCAAGTTCAGAGTCCGCCTGGCAGCATTTCCCCCGGCCGCCTCCTGCGGTGCTGGCAGAGGCGAGCGGTCACGGCAGAGACCCCGTGGCCCTTTTTCCAGAAAGCCTGCACGCTGGGCTCTGGACGGGTTTCTCCTGGAGGGTCTGCAGGGCAGACTGGAGAGGCCGCTAGAGGCCGCCGTCCCCTGCGGAGGCGTGCGGCCGTCTGTCCGTCCTGGTACCTCTTCCTCTCCCGAGGTTCTCCGAGCATGCCAGCTGGGTCCCCGTCCCCCCCCCTCCCCCCACTCGCCGGGACCTCTGCCCTCAAAGGCACGAGGGACAGCCAGCCATAGGTGTGGTGCTGGGAAAGGGGGGGCCTGGCCCTGTGTGCGTCCATCACGGTTCTCGGGGGAAAGTGTCACCAGGATATGTGGATGTGGGGAAAGAGCTGTGGTATAAAGAGTTGGCTGACCAACCGGGTGACCAGGCCAGTGGGTCCCCTGCAGGGTGAGGGGGCAGGCTCAGGACCCAAGAGCCAGTGTTTCAGTCTGAGTCCAAAGACAGGAACGATGTTCTCTCACTCAGAGAGTCAGCCTTTTTGTTCTCTTCGGGCCTTTGGCTGATTAGGTGAGGCCCACCACATTAGGGAGGATCCTCTCTCTCCTCCCTGTGCTCAAATATCACGTCTCACTCACAGACACCCAGAGTAATGTCTGACTAAATATCTGGGCACCCCGTGACTTCGTCAAGCGGACACATAAAATTAACCGTCTCAAAAACCCTCTCTGCGGTTTGCACAGCGCGGTGGGAAGGGGCTGGTGTTCATTTAGGCCTGAGAGAAAGGCAGGGGTTTGAAGACAGGCCGGGGGTGTAGTTCACGGGTGTGGGAGATGTTGGAACTTCTCGCCAAACTCAAGCATCGGGCGCCCAGGGGGACGCTCGGATTGCTTGCTTAGTGAAACCTGGGGCGTCCGGCCGGGCAGACACGGGGCGGAGAAGCCAGCTTCACCCAGGCGTCTCGTGTCAGAAGACCGCACGTGGTGTTGGGCCCGCGTGGACCTCGGGCGGCTCCAGGGCAGGGCCTCCGGGGCGCGGCCGCCTCTCACGGACTCCGCGCGGAGACCCCTTTACACCTGCTGTCTTGTTCCTCCGCAGACCACAGCAACGGCAAGTCCAGTCAGAGGCAGACGGTGTTCGGGGTCGTCACTGCCATCGACTTGCTGAACTTCGTGGCCACTCGGGAGCGCGACCGGAAGACCAAGTCAGGAAGCACCTCGGAGCCCAGACCTGCGGGGGCCACGGTACAGCTCTGACCGTGCCCACGCCTCGCCGGGGTCCGTGCTCTACCGTTTGTAAACACAGAATCCACACGCGTGATTTGTAACTGCCTGACGCTGGGCGTTGTTGTCAGGAGCGGGTAGCAAGCAGCGGGTGTAGGATGCTTAGCCTGGGGCCAGTGTGGACGCTAGCTTCCCTTTTACTAACACCTGGCCGCCTCGGTGAATCCGCGTACGGTTTATTGGAGTAGATGTGTGTTTCTTTCCCTTTCTTCTAAAACGGCTCAGCAAGAAAATCTTATCAAACAGGATACAGCCAGGTGGGTGAGCCCTCGTGGCAAATGACCAGAGCAGGGTGGATAAAGGTGGAGGAAAGTGCTCTTCTGGAGAAGAGCCTACGATGGGGAGCAGCAGAAAGGTGGCTAGGCAAGGATGGGCCTGTTTGGAGCCCTCACACGGAGGTGCTGTCTCCTGGGTACCGGGGCTGGTTACAGTGACTTCAGTGTTTGGGGGTTTCTTAATTGAGGTGAAATTCGCATAACCTTAAATGAACGATTTAAAAGTGTAAGTTTTTGGGGCGCCTGGGTGGCTCAGTCGGTTGAGTGTCCAACTTCGGCTCAGGTCACGATCTCACGGTTTGTGGGTTCGAGCCCCGCGTCGGGCTCTGTGCTGACAGCTCGGAGCTCGGAGCCTGCTTCGGATTCTGTGTCTCCCTCTCTCTCTCTGCCCCTCCCCTGCTTGTGCTCTCTCAAAAATAACATTAAAAAAAAAACTTAAAAAGTGTATGTTCTCAGTGTCGTGCAGCCACCGCCTCGTGTAGCCAAGTCCCATGCACTTCGCACCCCCCACTCCCCCCACATCCACCCCCTGGGTTTGTCTGTTGGGATGCGCCATGTAAACAGAATCCTACAATCTGGCCTCTCGTCCGTCTGTGGCTTGTTTCGCTCAGCATCTGAAGTTCACCCACGCTGTAGCAGCTGTCAGTACATCATCCCTATTTATGACCAAATAACACCCCGTCGTGTGCACGGATCACGTTTTGTGTGTCCTTTCGACAGGTGATGGACGTTTGGGTTGTTTCCACTTCTTAGCTGTTAGGAATTGTGCTGCCATGAACATGTGTCCAAGTATTTTGTTTAAAGGCCCGTTTTTCATTCTTTGGGTTATATGCACACGAGTGAAATTGCTGGGTCATGTGGTCATTCTGTTTCATTCTTTGAGGAGCCCCTAAACTGTTCCACAGTGGTTGTGCCGTTTCACATTCCCACCAGCTGTGCACAGAGACTCTGGTTTCTCCAGGTCCTTGTCCACACTGTTTTTCTCGGGGGGGGGGGGGGGCTTCTGTTTTGCTTCATGATCATGGTGGGAGGAAGTGGTTTTGATTTGCATTTCCCTGATGACAGTGATGTTGAGCATCTTTTTATGTGCTTTTTGGTCATTTGTGTGTTTTGTTTGGAGAAACGCCGATCCAAGTTCTTCGTCCATTTTTAAATTGGGTTGTCTTCTGTTGTCCAGTTGTAGGAGTTCTTCATATTTTCTAGATCCTTATCAGATACGTGATTTTTTTCCCATTCTGTGGAGTATCTTTTCCCTTTCTTGCTAATGACTTTTAGTGCATATTTTAAGTTTTGATGAAGTTTATCTTTTTTTTTCTTTTCTTGTACCTTTGGTGGCACATAATAAGACCCCTATCACCAAATCTAAGATCATGAAGTTTTACCCCTGTCTTTTCTCCTGAGACTTCTATTGGTTTTAGCTGTTATTCTGGTAAATGACATTCAATGATCCATTTGGAGTTTTCATACATGGTGTGAGGTAGGGATCCGGCGTCCTGTTTTTAAATGTGGATTGGATATCCCGTTTGTTGAAGAGACATGGTCTCCCATTGAATGGTCTTGGTGCTCTTGTTGACGATCAGTTGTCCGTAGATGTAAGTATTCATTTCTGGACTCCGTATTACTGGTCTCTATATCTCTCCTTATGCCAGTACCACACTATTTTGATGATTATGGCTTTATAGTAAGTTTTGAAATCAGGAACTAACTGTGGAGCCCTCCAGCTTTGTTCTTTTTCAGTATTTTGGAAATCGTGATATATCTTGATATAGTTTTCTTCATGGTTCTTGTGCTTGGAATTCATTGAGCTTCTTGGATTCCAGTATTTGATTAGAAATAGTTCCAGGGAACAGGGAAGGAAATCACCAGTGAAACAATTCACAAAGCTGTCCCAGAACAAAAGGTTGAGAGGGTCCACCTGCAAGGGACAGGGAAAGACCCATACGGGACATCACTGTGCAATGCTAGATCACCAAGGAAAGGATCCAAAAGCAGCTTCAGGAGGTGGGTGGGGAAACCCAGGTTACCCAGAGCCTCGGGAATGAGAAAAGCGCCTGACTTGATCTCTAGCAGGTGGAGGCTGGGAGGCGAGGGGGCAGAGCCTGAAAACATCTGGAACGGGAAGGCAGGCAGGCCACGCTCTCTTGTAACAGCAAACTGGCCCCCTGGCCCCAGAAAGCACTAGAAGATGTGCTCCGCCCAACAGGATCCTGAAGGGCACCCCCAGAACGGTGGGAAGGCAGGTCCCTGGCAAAGGGCTGGGCAGCCATGGGATGCAGCAGGACAGAGGGCTCCCGGCGATGCTCAGAGGGGGAGGGGACGTCACAGGCCTATAAACACTCAAGTCCCAGGCCTGGTAGGTAGAAAGTGGGGTTACATTAGTACCTAGAAAACACCACAAAAAGACCGTGTGAATGAAGGCTGGACAGCTGACCCTTGAGCAGCACAGAGGTCAGGGATGCCAGCTCTTCTCCCCCTGCAGTAGAAATTCTGTCGCTTTTGTTCCTCAGAAACTTAACTGTGGGCAGCCTCCTACTGCCCAGTTGGTGCCCTCCTCCTGCATCACTTGCTGGTGATGCGTTAAATACGCTGTATTCTTATGCATATTCTGTTGGGCACACAAATACCATAAATACTGTATTCTTACAGCAGGCTAAGCTAGAGGGAAGACGACGCTGGAACAGCAGGAAGAGAAGATACATTTACGGTATTTACAGTACTAGACTGTGGAGAAACATCCACGCGTGAGTGGCTCTCCGCAGTTTAAACCTGTGTCCACGGGTCGGCTGTGGAAGAAATTCAATCACAGTGCAGGATGCAACTAAGCTAGGAGGGAAGGCGGCTTAATTAAGGTCATGAAAGCCTGAACATCAATCTGTCCAGAAGTTATAAACTACATAGGAAGGACAGTTGTACTGGGGGGCAGGGCACGTAAGCTTCACCTTCCGATGTCACCAGTTAAATGAGCAGCACCACGAAGGCTTTGGAAATCCGTGGGCAGATCCCATGAGCAGCCGCTGGAGGCCCCGAACCTCTGGGTGGCCAGGCAGGCTCTGGGACCCGCTCTTTTCGTTCTAAGTCATCACCTAGAACTGTTTGACTCGTATCTGTGCATAACTGGTTAAAAAAAATAATCTTTTTACACAAAGCTGGTAAATCCAGTTTCTGGACCAAAGGGAAAATATCTTGGGCGTATTTCTGAAACTCAACAGTGGCCGTATTAGGCCTCTGTGGGCCAACGAGCGGGAGAAGACAGCCCTGTCTGGTGGCCCGTTCTGAAGGATCACAAGATTCCCGGACGGGCCAGTTTACTTTCCCCCCAACAGTGCTGGTATTGAACGGTTTTTAACACGACCCTTTCGTAGCCTGGTCCCCTACACCACAGAGTGGACCGTATGCCGATGCTCGGCGTGGAGCCCAGAGCCTCCCCTCCGCCGTCCGCCCCAGCCCGGGCCTGACTTGGGGTCTGCACCGGAAGGCTGGTGGGAATAAACATCCCTGGGGGCCCCTCCACCTTGTCAGGAGCCCGCCCACCCCTGCTGCCTACTTGGTGGCAAAAGACTGTGGCCCCAAGGGGCCTGCTCCCTCCCTCCTTCCCAGCCCCAGGAGCAGACCCGGGGAGCAGTGCGGGGAGCAGTGCCCGTGGCCGCAGGCGGTGGTCTTGGGGTAACTTTATGAGCTTCCCAGCTGGGCGGGGCCGCGGTGTAAGCAGCAGGGGTGGGCTCAGGAGCTCCCGCCTGCATGTCCCTGGCCGTTCCCGCCGTCACCTTCAGACGCTGCTCCTCTGGGGCCGTCCCCCGTGGAGCAGCGGGCCTTCCACCACAAGCCTCCCGTTGGCTGGCATGCTTCCCCCCGCCCCCATCCCCACATCCTCTGGCACAGAGCAGCCCGGGTGCTGCTGGACACAGTTCCCTTGTCGTCCACACCTTGTCTCTAAGAGGAAGGCTCCTACCTGCAACCCTGGGCCTGGGCAGGGAGGGGCCACGCTCAGCGGGGCTGTGGCAGGAAGCCCCTCGCGCCGGGCACGGCCGGCAGGGGTCAGCACAGGTGGCTGCCGTGCCGACTGGACCAGACTCGGGCACGGCCACGCCTAGCTGCAGGGAAGCTGGCGTATGGGGTCTGTAGTCGGCCGCGGGCCCAGCTTAAAATGGCAGTGGGGGCGGCTAGTCCTAAGGAGAAAGAAAAATCAAACGTGAATGCTGGCCGCGCCCCGCCCCCCCCCCTTGAGGGCTCGCTTGGGGCTGGAACCCCCGAGGTGGCAGACGTGCCTCGGACACTAGTGTCCCGGCGAGCGAGCCGATGGAGCTCCTCGGGTCCAAACCCGGAATCCGCCCCGCACGGCCGGCAGGCCCCTTCCTCCCACGGTCACTCCGGGCCGTGCCCAGCAGGCGTGGTTCGCCTGGTCTCTGGTGTCTCTCCCGGTGGGAGACAGAGGCCGCCTTCCGAGCTGCAGACCAGGAAGCACCGATCGCTCTCCTGTACCGCTCTGCAGCTACAGTGTGGGCACCTGACGAGCTTGGCGTCGGACGCACCACCCGGAGCCCCTGCAGGACCTGGGCCGGTGCGTGGGGTGGGGGCGGCCGAGTGCCTTCCGCCCCGTTCCTGGTGCGACCAGCTGTGGACTGGCAGCCAGCCTGAGCCGGGTCCTCCGGCTTCGGCACCGCCGGAGTCTGGGCTTCCCGGCAGTTTCCTTCTTGCCGGATGAGCCACGACTGCGTCTCTTCCAGCAAGAAGCCCGGAGAGGGGACGTTTCCCCCACGGCCTCCTGGGGGTGGCCGTATTCTCGACCCTTCTGTCACAGCTGGGTGCACGCCGGATTCCCCGAGCCCAGCCTGTGGGAGGAGGGGCCGGCTGTCCTCCACGATGGCCCTGGCCCGGCAGGTGCTGGAAGTAGCCTCTTCCTGGGTTTTGTCGCCTTGGCTTAAGATACCATCAGTGACACTTCACTCCCCGGGAGGCTGGCCTGACAGCTTGTTCTCAGGGACACAGGCCAAAAGCAAGCTTCTTCCTGATCTACTGGATTAGTGACGATCGGGGGGGGGGGGGGGGGGGGG